GACGACTGGGCGATATCGATACTGCTCTACGGGTGCCGCACCGGTGCGCCACCCTCGCCGACTAAGACTCCATACCAGGTCCGCTCTGTCCTCCTCCTCCTCTCGTGTTTCGTTCCTGTCGTGTGACCCCAGGCACCATACATAAGCTTTGCCAGATCGGAGAGATAGTTTTGCGGCGGCAGAGGGGAACGTCGAAACCCCACTTTTGTTCTGGTTTTTGTTTTCGGCACACCCAGTGTGCGGCCACGCGGTGCAGCTGCTTGACTGCTCATGGGGTGGTTTTGTGCGTCCAGCCTAGACTAGGTAATACCGTAATAGAGAGAGAACGCTATTACTCCATATGGTCCAATCCAATGGAGGCAAGATCTAGGATTGAGTCTGACCACCTGAAAACAGAATGTACACGAGTGATGCAACCTGCAAAAACACCCATTGCTCCAAGATTGGTCTAGGATTGAGTTTTTTTCCGTTCTTGTCAGGTCTTGAGGTAATTGAAAATTCCCTTTGCTCCAAGATACCACCCATGTATGGTTTTCATGGAGCATGTTTCCAGTTTCAGTAGTCCCGAAGGAATATGCTTTTTTAGTACTCCCTCTGTAAACTAATATATTACTCCCTCCGTTTCAAAATAGATGACTCAACTTTGTACTAACGTTAGTACAAAGTTGAGTCATCTATTTTGGAACGGAGGGAGTAGTTCTTATATTAGTTTACAGAGGGAGTACATACATATACGTCGGTAGATCAAGAGCAACAGTTGACAGCTATTTCAGGCTTGCTCACCATACTGTAGTTGAGCTAAGAAATGAGCTTATGAGGCCGGTACTAGTCTGTCTTTGATTAGTTGTTCTGTGATAGTTTTACAATGTTGCTTCATAATTGTTTACGACCTAGCATTTTTGCCCTTTTCTAAAAGAAAATTTTCTGCTTCAGTCCTGGGCAAGATGCGGAAAAATAAGAGGGGTGGTGATGATCTCACAAGAAGCTCGCATGGGGGAAGAAGAGCTAAGAGGGCGACGATGATCTCAGAAGAATCTCGCGAAGGAATAGAAGAGACAATCCAGATCCCAGGTCTGCCAGTTCATCTTTTCAGCGTGCTCTTTTCAATGCTTTATGTGAGCACTCACATTTCTGCCATATGATTCTTCTTTAACTAGGTGACTTACATGGTGACTCGAATCAAGATGTCTTGACTGAGCTCAGCGATGAAGTTAAATCAAATATGTCGAAAAGTGTTGCCTCACTTGCTGTGTGCAGTGGTGATTACACACTCCTTTATTTCCAAGAAATCTATAGAAATGTTTTCCCAACAAACACCACCACTTACAATAGGATTTATATTACAATCTTCTGCATGGGACACACTGTTATTTGCATGCTCAGGCATAGCTATAGAGCGCGAATTATATGTTACAAAGTTTGTGACTTCACCAAAATTGGCTCTAGTTTTCAGAAGTGCAATATTCGAAAAGAAGCATAACAACGTAAAGGTTCGTGCTGTCAATCATCCCTTAATAATATGTTTGCTTAAGATGATTGTGATCATTGTGTGCTTGTCCTATCATTGTAGATTGAGGTGCGCCATGTAGGCACTGAAGTTTACCAGGGTTTCTTAGACAGCGATGATGTAGATGAACACTTTTCTGTTGTCAAGGTCAAGACCTTCCTTGATGTTAATGTTGGACTTATTGAGCATGCTGAGGGGATTCTGCCTTATGGTAAGGTGGTAGTTTTAGGGCGTGGCACCTCCGGTGAATTAATGGCAAAAAGTGTGATACTGGCTGGCGATGTAAGTTGGCCTAAATATAATGAATATGCTGTGTTGTCTGTGGCTAAAATAACGAAGGTACACTTGCACTATGATATGAGCATTTTAATCTGTTTCTGTTGTTCTATGCGCTAAACTGTACCTTGGAGGCAATAAAAAATGATTCTTTTCCTATTTAATTCTTGTTCAATTTCACTTCATTTTGTTCAAATGTAACCCTTGTTGTCTGTCACCTGTTATTTGTGTTAGGATTGGGAAGGTGGGCCACTTTTTTCTTTGGATGGGAACTTTATCGGCATGAACCTTTTTCTGGTTATGGAAAGAGCTTTTTTTCTACCATGGGGTGTAATGGTCTATCTGGTGTATAACTTTAAGACTCCCCTAGAGAACAGGTAAAGGTTTTCCACCCTCAGAAAGATATTTCTGTCCATGGGCATGTAGTACAGTTGCCCTGCAATACAAGACTAGTCACATTTCTTGTTCATCTGTTGAATTGAAAGGAAATGTGCTCGCTAGAAGGAATTATGACGTTTCCCTATTCTGATTATTCTTTGGCATTTGCTCAAAGCTCTATGTTTTTGTGAAATATGTATATGCACACAACGTGGTGTCCTCTTTAGTCTATCCTGTTGCATGCACACGACCCTACCATTTAGTTATTTGGCACCATGTTGCATATTAATGCACATGTTTGATCCGTTTTGCTGCTGGGTTAGCAGTCACATTCATTTTCTTGGCAGGCATGGAGAAGGACCCTCACATGAGATGTTCAATCGCTATCAAGACGGTGAGCACACAACCACTCTTTGAGACAGCTAAACATTGTGGTATTATGCAAATTGTTGTATTCAGTTTGTAATGATATCTATTTTAAAGTCTTGGGAAGCGAGCTATTGCTTACTTCGTAGTCTCGCACACTCTCATGTCAAGGAAGCCGCCACCTGCTCAGGCTCGAACCCTTGTGCTCGCAAGATGTCGGTGCCTCCCTGGAGTGACTTCAGCGAGTTTCAGGGTCTGGCACTCCCCTGTTTTAAGATGAAGCTTGGGGGATGTCATATCCTGTATTAGTTCTTTTTTTTAAGCATCAATTTGTCGGTCTTCATAAGTAGTGCAAGTTCAACTATTGCATTTCTACTCAATAACCATCACAACTAGTTTGGCCTTTTTTACATGTACTTCCATGGCGTTAGTGCTAATCAGTCAACCTTTTCAGACACTGTTCTTGGGTATGCTATACCGTTCTAACTTGTAACCTGAAATGTTGCTCAGTTTGTCATCATAAGCTAATTAATTAATTTTATGTGCTGATCACTATGCATAGAATTTTATGTGCATTTACTTGTATTTTGTACTGGTATATCTCAGTGTTATAATCACCTGACCTTGTCCTTATTGCGCCAGTTTATAAAACTGGCATCGAGCATAGTCTGTTTGGGGATGTAGACAAGATGGGTTACCCCAAGCTACCAGTAACTATGCTGGATGGTGAGTCAGTGCTTCTAGATTTGCCGACTTTTTGTGCATCACGCCTCTTTACAGCTCTGCTGTGCCACTAACAACTATGCCACCTTGTATATAACACCAGATGGCTTGGTTTTGGTTAATACTTTTGAAGACACCTTTGGCGACGTATGGGGTGAAGGTGTCTGGAGGGAACTTGGGAAAAATGCTTCTGACATAAGTCGCATTGTTGTCGCACTTGCTTCCTTGAATGGTAATTTTACACCAATGTGGCATTTACCGGTATATATTTGTATCTGTTTACTGCCTGTTAATAATCAAAATCATGGCAACGGCAGGTGAAAAAATGTTTTCTGCATGCACGGGTTTTTTTATTCGATGGAATGGCTCAACCACCATTCTGACATCTGCAAGCCTGGTTAGAGATCATTGTGATGAAAGCAAGATTGTTGAAAACTTGACGGTTTGCGCTCCTCGCTCTATGATTGATTTCTGTTCTTTAGAGATTGTAGAAAACTTCTGAAGTCTCACTGTATAATTTGCAGATTAAAGTATTGCTTCCAAACAAACTTGTCCGAAAAGGGAACATAGAGCATTACAGTCTACATTACAATGTCGCTCTAGTCAGTGTCGAGGATTGCCGTGTTATCCGACCAGCAAAGATTCAGCTTGATTGTATTGGTATTTCCCGTGTAGCAGCTGCAGGGCGTTGCTTCAGATCAGGCACAGGCACGATAATGGCCACAAGTGGGCGTCTGGTTTCCTGGTCAGGCAGGCTTGATTGCAAGTTCATTTTACGCTCCACATGTAAAATCAGTAAGGTCGGTACGGCTGTTGCTGTTTGTTGCCTACTTTTTACATGGTGGAAGCTAATCGTCGCATCAAAATTACTAGTTGATTACCATGATGTCTGTTTGGATTAAATCTGAGAATATGTTTATGCCACCTTACCAGGCTGGGATTGGAGGACCCATTTTTAATATGCGTGTAGAGGTTATCGGCATGAACTTCTATTCAGAGAAAATAGGCACCCTTTCCTGCTATGGAATGAGATTGGCAACATCCTGGCATATTTTAAGGAAAAGAGGTATTTCAAAATTTCCTTTTTGGGGTATTCGAGTGTTTATCCGATAGTATGTTGTTGAGATGAACATTTGATTGAGAAGCCTGCTGAAGCGAGTTCAGCCAGGCATATGTTGAGTGATATAAATAAATGTATTTGCTGGTGTGTTTGACAGTGATGCTGGTGAGGTTGCCAAGGACAGTGGTTCCTCTTTCTGGAAAATGGATGGGGATGACAGAGTTCGGTTAAACAGGTAAGGCATCCTGAGACGCACACTCCTATCAAATTAGTTACAGTGAATAGTTTGGGATATAAAGTAGTACTCCCTCCGTACCTAGTTATAAAATGTTTCAACTTTTTTCTGAATCGGATGTATATAGACGCGTTTTAGTGTGTATTGTTCACTCATTTCAGCCAGTACATAGTCTATCTTAAAAAATTATCCAAACTGTCTTGTACTACTTCTGTGCACTAATATAGAGGTTTTTACACTATAAGACGTTTTGTAGTTCAATTTGAACTGCAAAAACCGTCTTACATTAGTGTAGGGAGGGAGTAATTTGGAACGGAGGTGATATTTACATTGAACTGCTGCAGGTGGCCTGTGCCTATGCCATGTTGGCGAGATCCTGACGATCCATCTTGGAGCTATCCTGATGATTGGATTACAGATGCACCCAGGGATGAGCCGAACATTGAAATCCCACCTGGCGAGGAGTTCAGATACGGATAAGGGGAACGAGATATAGAAAACTTGTAAAGGAGTGCTGGGTTCCCGTGACCAAGAAGTGGTGATATCTCTCACTGTATATCAATCTCCGTGTTCGATGCAGCTGCTTGGGTTGGCTAACACTCGAGAACGAAGTGACCTTTTTATGCGCCTGTGCTATGCACTGTTTAGAAGCTACTACGACAATCTCTTGTTCTTAGTCGTCGTAATATTATGCTGTTCTTAGTGAGCTCTTGGTTGTGTACCTAGCTAACTGCTCGTGCGTTGCCCGTGGTTCAACACAAATACGTCCTGCCATGTTTGGCCCTGTGCTCTGACGATGCCTCTGCACACCTTGGCCAACCCAAGGCAGCCCGCGCCGTTGAACTCCGGCGTATATTTTCATGAAGAGCAATTTTATTTTGCCAGTGATCTAAATGTCCTTATATTTCTTTACGGAGGGAGTACAAATTTGCGCTTCATATTAGTCAACAAACATGAACATTGGCGATTTCCCAACCTGAGTTTTCATATATTGGGGCCAAAACGCTAGGTAAACAGCATGCATATATTGGGGCCAAATCTACTATTCTTAAATAGTTTATCTTCACTATAAGTAATTCTCTCAACATGCGGCCTTTCACCTCACCTTGCGTGCCATGTCAGCATTCACTAGTACTATTTTTCAGCCGTGCACCACATTTTTACCTTTAATCATTACAACATGCACTCTCACATCTCACCAAGTCATACATGTGTGAGAAATCATAATTAGTCACAGAATTGTCCATATCATACATCTTACACAAGCTCATGTCTTTAGCATGTATCTTATTCATGTGGTATGAAAAATTTATTGGAATTGGTTGTAGACATTGATCGTCAGGATGTACTCCCTCCGTCCCAAAATAAGTGTCTTAATCTTAATATAATTTTGTATTAAAGTTAGTACAAAGTTGAGACATTTATTTTGAAACGGACGGAGTATTAAAGAGTGAAATGTGAATTGAAGAAAGCAATATGTGCATACAAGTATTGACCGGTGTATCATCTATTCATAAATACTAAAATATTCTTTCTTGAAAACTCTACAATGCTACAAGACTTTTTGGAGATACATTTATTGAAACGAAAAAGGGAATACCTTATATTAATCCGTCAGTCTGAATTTGTTTTTATTCAAGAATAATTTAATTTATTTCAAATATTTATAAAACCTATAAGCTGCTAACTTCATAAAATAAATGTTAGAGTGCAACAATAATATATTTTTTTCGCAGCAATGTGAGAATCCTCTAGTATTATGAACAATGAGAACAAAATTTGGAAACAGATGATACTATTTTTTAGTTTGTGTGACAAATAGGACATACAGCAGCAAGCAACGGTCGTAGTGTAGCGGACTCCTATTTGGGCATACAGGCAACACTGCAAACCGGCGCTCACATTGACATGAATGGTTCGGCTGATGTAAGTACGTGAATGGGAGTGCTGTTTCCGGTCTTGGGAAGCTTCCAGACTGGTTTTGGGAAACTTCTCGCAACTTTTCTTTTGTTCGGGTTTTCATTTTTCTTTCTTGATTTTCATGAGTTTGTTTATTTTTTAAAAATTCGCAAAAATTTTGTAAGCCACGAATTATTTCAAAAACTTAAGCTTTTTTGAAACCATGAACACATATTTAAATTAACAAAGTTTGTTTTAAAATTCAAGAACATTTTTGCATTCAGGAACTTCTTTGGAATTCATGAATTTTTTAAAGATTTTTTTGGAATTTAGGAACTTTTTTAAGTTGATTTTTTGGATTTATGAACCTTTTTTGACTTCACGAAAATATGCAAATTCACGAACTTTCTTTCATGCTCGTGATTTTTTTTGAATTCATGATTTTTTTACCTTTTTTGGCAAAAACATCAATATTTTGAACGTTTTTCAATCATGTGAAGCTTCTTTTATTAAAAAAAGTAAACCGGTCAACCAAGTGAACTGGTCCATGGTCGACTGGGTCAACCATGTTAACTGAGTGCGCGCTAGCTTGTTGGGCTGGCCCATGCACGAGGAGTGTGTGAGCGCCAACGTACTAACCGGCGCCGAACGCGTCCTATAGGAGCCCTCTTGCGGGAGCCCCGCAAGGGTCATTTTTATGGGCTAAGAGCGCTCCAGGTGGTGCATCCAGCCACCCCCACGTGTCATGCTGGGTGCTACCTCTGTATTTCTTTTTCCTTGTATGCATTTTTGGGTTTTAGATGAGTTTCGTTGGCTTTTCGGTTTACACCTTGTTTTTCCTAGGATTTGCAGAAAAAATTGGCGAGAAAAAGTTCGTAAAAAGAGTTATGGGAAAAAATTGTACTTCTACGAGTAGCACATATTTGCTTTTCGTGGAGGCACATAATTGCTTCCGGGAGAAGCATAGTGTGCTTCTCAGAAAAGGGGAAATCACAGATTTTATTTTTTGCGTCAATCTTTTTTTGCTTCCATGAGAAGTGTTCCTTTGCTGATATTATTACCAATATTTGACACTAGGTTATTCATAGTATTACTATGCCTTCCTATTCATTATGGGTTGGTTAGTTGTCAGGCACCAATTTTCTTCTGTGAGAAACACAATTATCCTTCTTGGGAAATGGAAAAAATCTTAATTTTTTTGCTTGAATGAGAAGCACAAATTTGCATCTCATTGTACTTCCCGAAAAGGGTAAAAAATTGCACACAATTTTTTTGCCGCAAGAAGCACAGTCGTGCTTCCCTGGAAGGGAAAATATCGGGAATTTTATTTTGTGTGATTTTTGTGTACTTCCACGAGAAGCACATATTTGCATCCCGTGAAGGCACAAATCTATGCTTCTCAAAAAGGAAAAAAAAATGTGCTTCCGGCTTTGCTCCCCCCCCCCCTCCTTTTTTGATTTTTTTGTGAAAAAAGCTTGTTGAAACCTATTAACATGATATTTAATATCAAAGGTCTCGATGCGAGAAATCCAACGGTGATAAAAGTTCGGGATTTGGACACATGGTTAAAGAGATAATACATTTTAAAAAACAAATCTACGAAAAAAGGAAAACTCTCAAGTTGCGACAAGTGCGCACATGCAGTGCGTCATTTGTTTGTGTTGGAGAAGGTGAGAATGACCTTTCCAAGGTGTTCCCCTTAAATAGTGATTTCGGCTTTAGTGTAGATTTTCGGTATTTAACTCATAACCTCTGTTGGGCCAAATTCATGTTCAAAAGGCCATCTACGTATCAAGATGAATACTTGGTTGGCCTAATAGGTGAATGAGATTGGGCATTTAGAGGGCCACGAAGTGGAATGATAGTTATGATTTATGGGCTGTTGTTTCTCTTTACGAAAATGGGCTCTTACTTTCCATTCTCAGATAGTACACGGCTTTGACTTCCGAAAATTCTACTACATTCTCTATGACTGTACGTCCGCATATCTTATTCCCGCATTCTTTGCAAGTAGACTCGGCCAAGCAGGTGACTCATTTCTACTAGGCTCATCAGCGCTCTGTTCGGCTGTTCCACCATTTTACTAAAGGAAACCAGCATCACCTGTGCCTCGTCATTCTATCACGGTCGTCGTTGCTTGAGATGAGATAAGAGTGTGGCATACACGATGTGGTAGAATGAGAATAGCTATGGTGGCACGGAGTAGGAGCGAGAGACCTAGTTGTTCTTGGCCGTGAAGTGAATAGCTATGGTGGCATTTCTATCTGTATTTTCTGACTCCTTCCATTTCCTATGACTACCATTTTAAATCCATGTTGTGTGGAGGCGTGGCAAATAATAATATGAGCAAGTCATCCATCTTCGGAGCAGGGAGGTCTCACTTCTTATAAAAGATTTGGGTGGTGGACAACGACATAACGTCATTGATCCATTGGTAGGTCAATGGCTAAAAGATTCTCACTTTATGAGTTTGGTCCTAGTTAGGTTCGAGGCTATATGAGTGTTTTAAACGAACAATAAATTTGTGGATCTTTTCATTTTTAAATGAAGGATTTTATTGGTCCCTTGATCTTTACATCAAGATGCTGTAACTACCCAACACACAGTTTAGAATTACAAAGTTCACAAAAACCAAAGCCTCAATGGCTAATCTCTTATACTCCCTCCGTTCCTAAAGTCTTTGTAGAGATTCCACTATGAACTACTCTCTCCGTCCGAAAATACTCGTCATCAAATAGACAAAAAGGGGTGTATCTAAAACTAAAATGCATCTAGATACATCCCCTTTTATTCATTTTGATAACAAGTATTTCTGGACGGAGGGAGTACATGCAGAGCAAAATGAGTGAATCTACATTCTAAAATGCATCTACATACATCCGTATGTGGTCCGTAGTGAAATCTCTACAAAGACTTATATTTAAAAACGAAGGGAGTGTTTTCGTAGAGATAAAAACGAGCTAAGTAGACCAACGACTCCAAGACGCCAAGTGAGTTGTGTCTTCCGAAAGACTGGAGATGCATGAGGCCATGTGATCATTGATGAACTGCTCCGGTACAAGCACTGGTGCTGAGTGTGATGTTAAATCTTCCAGTC